CCTCCCTCATTTTTGGAAATGCTCCCTTATAAACACTTACTTCTATATATATGACATGAATAACCAATCGGAAGCTCAGAATGTCCCCCTAGTGGTTTTCTCAGCCTTTCTAACGTACCTAGCACCATTTCTTTCGTTTAAACCAAGATTTCAATGAGGTAGGTTGTGTCTTTAGTCTGCTTGAAATTTCAAGTTTTTTTAGGCCTAAATATAGCTTAGTTACTAAGTTTGATAAAATATAGTATAATTCTGTGGTATTGATATAGTAATTTATGATTTTTTAGTTATTCAAATGTATATATAAAACCTGAAAAAAAAATTTGTTTCATATCCTCCATGTGCAAAATTTTTAAAGGCTTAGCAACCTACATCAAGCAGCAACCGAGTACAAAGGTTGTAACTAGAAGAGATAATTATCTATATACATATATAATGTATAATAACTGAAATGTGACTGTATTTTTACAAAATACTAGTCAACTAAAACACAGCCAACACACGTTACTTTGTATAGACCAAAGGTCACCTTTATATTATTTATATACGGTAACAAGAGTGAATGTGAGCCGCATCGTTGTAACTTCTGTATTGTTAGCCAGGCATGGGTGAAAGTTCAATATAATAAAAATAATAAATACATATAAATGTATAATGTTATGAGATTTAAGCTATTTCGTCTAAACATTTATGTTTTTTTGTTATAATCTGTGTTCATTCTAGAATGAAAGAGGCATAATTTATGTTTATTTCCCAATTTTCTATGGTGGTTGTGAGATCGGTCAAATCTACCTAGCCCATGCAGATTAATTACTGAAAATAACAGATTAAATATAAAGTTTTTTCTTAAGAAATGTTTAATAAATATCCAGACATTATAAAGATTTTGCATTTGAAATTTCAAAATTTTCTGATGCATAAAAGTATTTTTAATGTTATAATGAAAATTACTTTGCATCATAGATAGGCAAGATATGATAAGAAAAAAAAAAGGCATGAGAGAAACATTGCTTTACAAACCTTAAGACTTAATAAAAAAATTAGATATTTTGCATATGAAAGCATTGTAATGTTTACTGATAAACTCCCAAATTTCATTAACATTCGCTTACTAATTTAAAATTATAGCATAAAAACAAGCTCAAAATGGTTACGAGGTTGAAAAGAGTTAACACAATATAATTAGCCCATATTTAATCATTGAATGATCAAATACCAAAGTAGGTTTATATGATATGAGATAGAACTAGGGAAAATTGAGGCTCATTTTCATAAGAACAATTTCTCATTGGGCATTGGATACTAAGAGCTTCACCCACCCATTTTCATTTTAACAAATCAAATCAGACTAATTACAGTGCATTACTGACCTCTACAGTCAGAAAACATTATAAGAGATGTTTTCATCATAACCTTAATGGGAAAATCAACAGATCTATTAAAAAACCTTAATAATTTATCTGATGTGCTTCCAATACCAAAGAAACCAACCCAACATACCAATTCAAGTATAAAGCTAAGAGCTAGTAGTAGATGCATGCACACACACACACACACACATACATATATATATATAAAACATATTTGGATGTACTTTTACCTGTTCTCTGTATTGTTCTTGAGGAAGACATTCTGTCAAGTCCACACATCCTAGCAGACATCCAGTAGGATACTGCTCTGGAAATTTGATAAAATCATCTAAAAAATACAAATGTAGAAGTACAGGTCTAATGTCTGTGATGAACATCATTCTAGATTGCAGCTGTATTTTCCAAAATTTCTAATACTTAATCATTATACTTACGTTTATACTTTAAATTACATTAATTAAAGTATCTATAAGTTTTCAGATTACATGAGAGATCTACAAGCACAGATATACTCTAAGATCTTCACAGTCAAAATCAAAAATAGCTTGCATCTTTTAATGATCCCGAGAAGCTCTTTAACAACGACTAAAATGCCACCAGTGACTGAGAATCAGGAGACGTAACCCAGTGACCAGAAAGCAATAACAGTAACAGAGAACAGCCAGGCAACCCTACTCAATAATAGATAAGTAAAATCACTAAACGAATGATACAGAGATGCCAAGAATGAATGAGACATCATTCAATGAATATAAGTAAAATTTTTTTCAAATACTCCCAGGTGACATCACACCATGATAGATAGTTGACCCCAAACTATATGATACTATTCAAATCTAGCCAGGAAACTATTTAATAACAGCCATATAGAAATTATTAAATGACAGAAATGTTACATTCCTCAATTAATTCCAGAAGTCACCACTCTTTAACAGCCATGCAACACCACTCCACAAATGCCACATAAAAACCATTACTCAATAATAACCAGAAGACTGCAATTCATGGAAGTCACTCCATGATAGATATATTATACCACTCAATGAATGCCAATAAACACCACTTGTTAGTAGCCAAGAGATGCAACTCAATAATAACCAGAAGACTGTGATTCATGGAAGTCACTCCATGATAGATATATTATATCACTCAATGAATGCCAATAAATACCACTTGTTAGCAGCCAAGAGATGCAACTCAATAATAACCAAATAAAACTACCCAAAGAAAGCCACGAGATATCACTCAATGACAGTGAGAATGGCTAAAAAATGCACCCATCAATGAATGCCAAGAGAAACCATTCTTGACAGCCAAGTAAAACCATTTAATGAAAACTAAGAGACAACATGTTAGTAAAGTCAGGTGGTAACATTCAGTAACAGCTAGATGGCACCAAAGTTCTGTAATTAAAGAACACTAAAGAATGATTGCCAGGAGAAAATCCAGTGTTAGACAGGTAACACCACTGAATGATAGACATGGTACTGTATCATAGTTTACATAGAAACTTTACTGAACTTTCTTAGAATATCCTTATTGATACAGAGGATATGTAAATTTATCAAAATACAAGTGAGGTAGTCCTACAATAGGCTTATTTATTCTGATGAATCACAACTTTAATTATCACTAGAAATTAATTTTATCATAAAATGTATTATGCCTTATGTTGTGAGCAAGAGTTTCAATTGTAGTTCAAAAGAAAAGGTTTGTACTGTGATCCTGTATTTTATTAATAGGTAGGCCTTAATACTAGTTAAAATGATAAATCTAACCAAACCCTTCAAAAAATACTAAAAAGTCTTAATTCTAATTATAAATCCAATTTTGCAATAAATCAATAAAAATATGTCAACATTTACTTACGTATTCATTCAGCTTTAATATATCTTAATTTTCTAATCAACAACATCAAAACATTAAATAAATAGTAAAAAATTGCCCCATATATCAGCCTTCTTCATTAAGGATAACAATAGAAGGCCTAGATAGAACAGAAAAAAGGGGAGAGGTGAAGTCATGAAAGCAGCAGTGGGAATGAGTATTAGAGAAGGGTACCCACCTCTCATAAAGAGATCCTTCTCTGGAAAAGTTATTTTTTTATATAACCTTCTGAGCTATTTTGCTACATTTCAACTTTTCACTTTTACACAAATGTTCTTTGGTAACTCTAGCCTACCCTAGTCATCTAAATCCTTATATGGTCATGATGAAATGTAAAGAGAGTAAAAATGCACCAACCTTTATACTATATTCTTGCCTAATAGGTTAACTTAAGCTTTTACCTTACTTAGTTACATCAGCATTAAAGTAGGCATAACATACATCAAAGCTAATAATGGTTGGAGAAGGCTTGAATGGGTAATGAAGAAAAACTTTAATATAAGTTTAACATAACAGCAAATGTATAACTTTTGGACATGGTTTTGTACCTGATGATGACAAAACCTTGTTGAAACGTT